AATCAAGTGGGTGCCTTCGGGAAAGCTTCGGGAAAGCTGTTTCCCCAGCACCACCCTTTGTCTCTGGCCTTGGAGAAAGGAGACGAGCCATTGCAGGGCAGGCCCCTGAATTCCAACGTCGGTGAGGCGGTGGGCCAGTAGCTGATGGTTGACCATGTCAAACGCAGCTGACAGGTCCAACAGCAACAGCACTGCTGATCCGCCTCAATCCAGATGCCTCCGGAGATCATCTGTGAGGGCAACCAGTGCCATCTCCGTCCCGTGACCTGGGCGAAAGCCGGACTGGAAGGGATCTAGAATGGAAGCGTCATCCAAAAAGCTCTGATGAGAGATGAATGTCTATACCTGTTAAGGAAACTAAAAACCAATAAGTCTCTAGGTCCTGATAGCATACACCCAAGAGTTCTTATGGAACTCAGATGTGAGACTGTTGATCTACTAGCCCGTATATGTAACCTGTCACTAAATACAGCTACTATACCAAAAGACTAGAGAGCAGCAAATGTTAACTAGCTTTTAAAAAGGGGTCCAGAGGGGTATCAGGAAATTACAGGTCGTTTGGCCTAACATCTGTCCCAGGCAAATTTCTTGTTGGTCAGTTGCACAGTTGAGTCCAACCCTTTGCGACCCCAAGGACCAGATCACGCCAGGCCTTCCGATCTTCCGCCGTCCTCTGAAGTTTGCTCAATTTCATGTTCGTTGCATCGATGACACTGTCTAACCATCTCATCCTTTGCCGTCCCCGTCTTCTTTGACCTTCAATCTTTCCCAGCATCAGGGTCTTCTCCAGTGAGTGCTCCCTTCTCATTTGGTGGCCAAAGTATTAAAAACTATAATCAAAGTCAGAATTATTAGGCTCACAGAGGAACACAGCTTGCTAAGGGGAAATCAGCATGGCTTCTGCAAAGGAAAGTCCTACCTCACCAGCCTTTTGCATTTCTTTGAAACAGTGAACAAGCATGTAGATAATGGTGACATTATATACTTGGTAGGCATCTTATATTTGGACTTTCAAAAAGGCTTTTGACATTATACACATTACACCACAATGTATGTGCTAACAAAGTAATCGATTATTCATTTTATGTTCTTAAAGCAATAAAGCAAGTTCATGTTTGATAGGCATCACATATATTTCCATTTTCTCCTTTTAAAAAATTGTGAAATGGCATGTAGAGATCAGTTCATCAGATAGTAACATAAAATTGTTAAGTTCAAGGTAAAGCTTTTGGAATTAAAGCTAAATGTACCTATTTTGCCTATCTAAATTAATATATATTGAACATTTAACATTGCTTTTCAAACAAATTCTACAGGAAGCTCTGCTGTGCAAACCCCAGATAAATGAAAGACAGTAATGTAAGAGCAAGCACTCCCATTCATTTCATTGGGTTGGTGAAGGTAATAAGTTTAAGCACAATAGTGTCTCTGTGTTAAATTCTACCATCCTGTAAAACTCCAACAATTGTTTGCCAGCCTTCTCATGGTAAAATTATTCCGTTAAAATTTTACCAGTTTACAATTTTAAGTCTTGTGAGTGGAAAGAACTCTATAACTGAACTCCACAACTGTACTAAAATCACTTGGAGGTGCTTTTTGTTTTTAATCCAGTTGATTCTGTTGCTTTGACTCGTTCTGAATTACCTGAATATATCTTTGGGCAGACAAATTAGATATAAGTCCTATGCAAAATTTAGGATAGAATGAGACGTTTTGGCAAATGCTTGTTTCCGAATCTGTCTTTGCTGAAATAATGTGAGTGTGGTAGTGGGAAACTCCCCCTGTCAGTTTTCCCACAACAGGAGCACAGCTGAAGAAAGAAAATTTAAAGGGACCTGGAAGGCAACTGCAGGGAAAAACTGATGAATCGAGGAAGGTTTAAGCAGTCCTTTCACCTGTTGATCGTTCTTCAAAAATCCACTCCTGCCCCTCAGACTCATATTCAGTTCACTTGGAAATGCAGGGATATGAGCATCTATTTCTACCCTTATTTTTAAAACTTAGGGTTTATCTGCCATCTAGCAATTAAAAAATGCCAAAACAATGCATTTTAAAATGCTTCCTATGCATAACAGCTCATGTTCTAGTTCTCTGCCATACCATAATAAAGTTTATGTTCTTTTCCACCATATCATTGAAGGTATGTTTAGACTAACGTGAAAAAATATCTTTATACAATGCCAAAGGAAACTACATAATTACATGCAGATACACACACACAAACTTAAAAGAACTACAATGCTAACAACCTTGTGTGGGTTATGAGCAAAGATTCGAACAATGTTCAAAACACTGAAGTTGTTTAATTCCTGAACAGGTAATCATACAGTAATGTGAATCAACACTTTTCACACGCAAGAAATCTAACTTTAAACATATTCTGATGGGGTATGAACTGGCAGTGAGTGAGAAAGAAAAAGATGTTTGGATTATAGTGGATAACTAGATGAAAACATTGGATACAAACCATTCTCTTCACTTATTTTGAAATAAGTATTTCACTTATTTTGTAGATGTTAAAAAATAACATTTTAAAAACATCCAAAATAACCACTGGCATACTGGCTGTTTGTGCCACTTATGCAAAGGGGGAGAAAAGCTAAAGCCTCCAGAATTTTTCCCCGAGTTGTAAGTAAAGAGCATCTACAGATAAAATAAATATTTGAAATATACCAAACAGGTAAGAACAATATAAGAATATAGCCAAATCTGTTCAGAGATTTCAGTAACACAAGACACCTATAAAGTATGTTGAGTACAATGAATGGTAGAACACCTTTAACTGTGCAGATATGTTATTGAATGTAAAAGTCCCCCATGACATTTTTACACTTCCATTTGAGCAGTGGGAGATTTAACCACAATCAGCTACACAAATATTAGTTCTTTCCTGAATTTTGCAATAAGCTTGGAATTGAAATGATTCACTGAGATTGCAAGAGCAGCAAGGCAGGCACAATACTGGGAACTTTGAAAAATTAATTTGTAGGATAATTCTGCCTAATTTTTTTTGCATTTCAGGGCAGGACCAACAGCAATGTATAAAGAACCCTGTTTCCTCACAACCTTACCAACTCATTCAATTTTTATGCAGTCATATGGGATGTAAACTGATCGGTGTTAAATATCCTATCCATAATTTGAATTTCTTTGATGCTCACTGATGATAGTTCTGTGCAGATTTCAAATATGCGAGCAGTTTAAATGTAATTCAAATCCCTATGAAAGCACTCCAGATTTGCTTATACCTGCTTTTAGAGCTCAATGAATTAGATGGAAAACCTGCTAACTACTCTGGTCCCTTGGAAGAATGTAAAAAGTATTCATTCAAGTTGACATGATAGCTGGAGATAAACTGGAATCGGACAGGATTTTAAAACTCACTTTCTATTCTTATTACCGCAAATCAGTACATCACAGTGAGCAAGATCGGTCCCAAAGGCTTAAATAATTATATCACCTGCTTTGGACTTTTTTTTTAACAAACAAAAGCAGCATATAAGATAGACAAAAATACAACATAGGTAAAAATACACATTTCACAAGAAAAACTAAGGATGGTGGAAAAGTACATAAGCAGCTGAATTCACAGAATTCTTCATAGGGCACATAGTTACCGAAGTGTGAGCTCTGTGCAGTTAAAGTGGATCCCCACTTGCCATGAAACTTAACTGGGTTACTGTGGGGCCAGTCATTCCTTCTCAAACTAATTTACTATACAGGTTTGTTTTGAAAGTAAAATGCAGGAAGGAAGAAGTACTGTGAGATATAAATGCACTAATAAAGCGCAATCCTAAAAACACCTTCCCGCAGTAAAGCTTCATTGAAGGAAGCCAAATATGAATCCAAGTAGGGTGAAGGTTGCAGTCCAACAACTTCAACTCATCAGCTGTCTCACACACACACACACACCACCCTTTCCTCTAGCCAGAGGCTTTGAACAGCTGCCTGTCAAATCATGCTCCAGAATAGCTGTACTTCACCAGGGTCCGGTAGAGAAAAAAGGGCTCGGGATGGGGGTTAATCCCCCCTGTAATTAAAAGTCACTGAAATAATTGGCACTGCTAATAGCACAAGAGTGAAAGCATGACAACTGGATATCAATGCTCCCTCTAACCTGTGGAGTCTTGGGAGCAAAAATTCTGCTTTGTGAGCTACTGGTATTAAAGTTATGAGGGAGCAATTTGGCTAATGCATAAATTAGTTTGCTCTGGAGCTATCTTTCCTGAGCTAAGGCAAAAATATGTGAGCCGGAGGCTTAAAGCTCACATTAACTCAGCTTACAGGGGACACTGCTGGACATTCACATACAGTTTGGGAGTGGGGCGTTAGAAATGGGGACGATTAAATAAATGCAAACATTTCTAAAGCTCCTATTATACTTGTATTTGCTCCATTCTGTAACGATTCCTTACATCATTCGCATTGCCAATAGTGCAAGAAGCACGACGTCAAAAATATGCTAACTGGACATTTGCTTATTGATAGACAGACAGATAATGTGAAAGACCTAGGAAAAGAAAGAAAGAGAGAGAGAGAGAGAGAGAGAGAGAGAGAGAGAGAGAGAGAGAGAGAGAGAGAGAGAGAGAGAGAGAGAGAGAGAGAGAGAGAGAGAGAGAGAGAGAGAGAGAGAGAGAGAGAGAGAGAGAGAGAGAGAGAGAGAGAGAGAGAGAGAGAGAGAGAGAGAGAGAGAGAGAGAGAGAGAGAGAGAGAGAGAGAGAGAGAGAGAGAGAGAGAGAGAGAGAGAGAGAGAGAGAGAAAGAGAGAGAGTCAGACCATGGGAGTATCAAATTTTTGCAAAGGTTACCCTGCAGTTTAACAGCTGAAACGTGGACACAAGGAAACGAAAGCCAGATGAAGCCCCGCTAGAATCCCTGGACGACGTTCCCCGAGGTGAGGGCGTGGGGATGCGCAGAGGGCCCGGGCTATGGAACGGGGAGCCCGCACCGAGAGGAAAGGACGCGGGCCGCCCCTTGACCCTTACCTTTGCACAAGCTCACCCAAAGGACGAGGAGGAAGAGGATGCGCAGTCGCCCGGGGACTCCCCAGCCGCCTTGCAACTTCCGCGGACTGGGATGGCTGCTGCTGGCGGCGGCGACGCCGCCGCTCCTGCCGCGGGACGAAGCGGGAGGCTGCCGCTGCCCTCGGCGCCAGCAAGCGCCGGCCCTCCGCATGGCGTCTTCCCCGGCTCTTTCCCCGCCGCTCTGCTTTTTTGCGCGCGCTTTTGTCCGCCGCTCCTCTCCCGCTGAGGGCTTCCCAGGCGGAGGAGCTGCCGACACTTTTAAATCTCCCGGACACGAGGCGGCAGGCGGCGGCAGAGCCTGACTCAGGGCGGCCACGTCAGCCCCCTCCGGCCCTCCCCGCTCGCCCCTGGCGGGATTGAGACGCCGACGCAAGTCGAGGAGGCCGCGAAGAGGGACGTTTGGACGCAGGCAAGGCGGCCCCTTACCGACTCGCGTGTCCTCTGGACGTGGGACCGTGTGGTAAACTGCTCGCCCGTTCCCAAGGACTCAGCTACTACGCCCAGCGCGGTGAGGCAGCAGTAAAACTTCTACGGGGCAGGTGCCGTGCGATCCCACACAGCTGAGGGTTGTCTATGCCCTTGCACTCGAAGGGAGCTGACTGGGTGGGAAAGTCCTATACAAGCATTGTCCTCTTATATGGCTCAGTAAAGGACCACTTCCTGACCCGAGTTCCCTCTAAGCTGTGGAATCTTGTGAGCCAAAATTCTGCTTTGTGAGCTATTGACGTTAAAGTGGTGAGCGAGCCATTTGGCTGCTGCATAAATTAGTTTGCACTGGAGCCATCCCTTCCTGAGCTGAGACGTGTGAGCCGGAGGCTAAAAAGCTGTGAGCTAGCTCACACTAACTCAGCTTAGAGGGAACACTGTTAAATCCTGACCTGGATAGCCCAGGCTAGCCTGATCTGGTCAGATCTTGGAAGCTAAGCAGGGTTGGCCCTGGCCAGTCTTTGGATGGAGTTCGCCAAGGAAGTCCAGGGTCACAACGCCGAGGCAGGAAATGGCAAACCACCTCTGAATGTCTCTTGTCTTGAAAACCCTACAGTGTCACCATAAGTCAGTTGTGCTTTGACAACAAAGGGGGGGGGGTCACAGTGGTATAAAGTTGCCTTGTTTAGCCTCTGTAACCATGTTGCTGTGGCCGGCCAGCCCACTGCTCTGGATTTTTGAGTACTGGTGAAGGGTGTGACAACTCCGTTATGAGGAATTTTTGTTGGGTCCCGTGACTCTCTTTTACCAAGTCTTCCTCCAACAGAGAGAGACTTCCTTCAACAAAGAAAGGCTTTCTCCATCAGACAAAGCCATTCTCCGTTGGAGGAAGCCTTTCTCCCTTGAAAGGCTCCTAAAAATCTTACTGGATGTGTTAGAAGACGAAGGTGCCTTATGCTGAGAAGTCATTGCTCTATCAAGGTCAGTTAGGGTGACCCACCATCGATCTTCAACCCCTGCTGCTGCTGCTTAGTAGGGCAGCAGAGGGGAAATGGGGGGGGGGAGGTCAAAGCTGTGATGCTGCAACATCAGAACCGGAAGCGACATCACTGCATTGCAAGACACTCTAGGATTCACCTGAAAATCATATGGCTTTTACCATAAAGGTTTGGGTGATTCCTAGAGCATCCCTTGATGTGGTGACATCACTTCTGGTTATACAACCAAAAGTGATGTTTCAGTGTCATGGGACGCCATTTGGGTAAGTCCTGCCCCCTGCTGGCAACCCTAAAGCCAGTACTGTCAGTTCTGACTTGATATCAGGGTCTCTGAATTCCCAGCTGCCATTTAGAACAAAAAGTAAGTCTGTAGCCGCATCCGTTGCAGAGATACTCCTAGCTTTTTCTCTCTTTTTTAAAGGAAAGCTGGGAATTCAGGGAATATGACAGATTGTAATAGCAATATGATATATTTTTAAAAAGCCTTCTCGTGGCAGGCAGGGAAACGGCTGCTGCAGGGACGGGGCAGAAAAAATGGTGCAGTTGTGGGTGGGACCAGAAAGATCTGGATGTTCCCATGCACATGAGTGCCAGACTGGCATTGTGATCTTTCTTAAAATGTCGCAGCAAAGTGGTTTGGGAAAGATCAGAGAAAAGACAGAAAACCCCTAGATGGGCACAGAAGCATTGTCATGCTGTGGGGATCCAATATATATATCCCACTTCCCAATCACATCCAAGTCAAGCCTGGACAAACAACGTGCTAGTAAGTGTCCTTTGTTGCCTCCTCTGGCTGGCAGTGGCTCTCCAGAATCTGAGGTCGAGGTCTTTCACACATGAAGCATTGGACACAAAACTGCCTTATACTGTTGAGGTCTACCAAGATCAGTATTATCTGCTCAAGCCAGCAATGGGTTTCTAGGGCCTTGAACAGAGGTCTTCCACACCACCGACTTCTTCATATTTTTAACTGGGACCATTTTGAAATGTTGTCAGTTCATTCAGGGATGAGAAAAGTGACAACTGCTTCGATTCCCTCTTCTGTTCAGCTGTACAAGGTCTAAGAGCCGTGTCCTCCTCCATCACATGTGCAAGCCATAAGCCTTCAAATTTATGAACACTTGCCTGGTGGAGGTAAACCCATTGCCCCACTTCAAAGAAAATGGTGCTATAAAGTCACCTCCGTGCTTGAGAGAAGAAGGATGACAGGGTCACAAGTAATTACTGTCAGCATTCTACAATTAAGGATACATCCATTTCCAATGTTGACATATTTATTTCCTTCACTGTTTTTGTCCCAGAACTGAAACCAAACAAATGGTTACCATATAAACTAAGCTGATTATTCCTGTTCAGTCCTTGTATCTGCTAAACATCTTCATTATGCTGTATGATAATTTACTAATCACCCTCTCCCTATGTGTTGTTGTTGTTGTTGTTGGTCAGTCGCAAAGTCGAGTCCGACTCTTCGCGACCCCATGGACCAGATCACGCCAGGCCTTCCGGTCTTCCGCCGTCCTCTGAAGTTTGCTCAACTTCATGTTCGTTGCATCGACACTGTCTAACCATCTCATGCTTTGCCATCCCCGTCTTCTTTGCCCTTCAATCTATCCCAGCATCAGGGTCTTCTCCAGGGAGTGCTCCCTTCTCATTTGGTATGGACTGGTAATTTCCAATTTGTTTCTCTCTGTGTCTTGTCTTTAATTGGCCCTTCCTGGCAACTAACCCCCACACCATCTTTCTTTTTATATGTAATGGTTGAGGAAATTCTGTTTCACTATATCTGAAGAAGTGTGCTTGCACATGAAAGCTTATACTCAGACTTTGTTGGTACTACTGGACTCAAACATTGTTCTACTGCTTCAGACCAACACGCCTACCTACCTGGATCTCTCTTTGGTCTGTACCACTTCCCAGTGCAGGGTAACATGCCTTAAATGCTCCTCTAAAATTCACATAGAAGAAGAAGAGAAGAAGAAGAGATTGGATTTATACCCCGCCCTTCACTCGGAGTCTCAGCGCAGCTTACAAACTCCTTTCCCTTCCCCTCCCCACAACAGACACCCTGTGAGGTGGGCGGGGCTGAGAGAACTCTGACACAAACTGCTCTTTTTCAAGGACAGCTGTGCCAGAGCTTGTGACTGACCCAAGGTCACATCAGCAGGTGCAAGTGGAGGAGTGAGGAATCAAACCCGGTTCTCCCAGATTAGAGTCCGCGCACTTAACCACTACACCAAACTAGAAAACTAGAGGTCTCAGAGCAGGGTTCTTCTGTAGCACAGACTAAGGGAGATTTTTAAAAACATCAGGATCACGAAACCAGGATCAAAAACCAGGATCACGAAACTGCGAAGGAAATCGGGCGAAGCCTCGAGTCAAAATGCAGCCCCGGAGCTTCGGGTGTGAAATTGACATGGTTGTGTCAGGGCAAAGCCGCGAGGCAGCTCTAGTGAGAAATCACCCTAATATTCTCCCCTAGTTTTCTAAGTGCCAGGAAGTTTATGTCTCGAGGGGCATAAAGACGGGAACACCAGTTTGCAGTCTGAAGTGGAATTGTGCAAATACCAGCTTACTTTCTTATCTACTGTTTGTGAGAATGAAGCCTCAGCAACATGTTGGCTCCATTGAACACAGAAGGACATACTTCTGAATAAGCAAGTACAGGTTTCATCTGCTAAAACAAATATAAGGAAAATACTTTGTAAATAGGTTCAGTCCCAGCCATATTTGGTTCAAAACCTTGGACAGCGGCTACAGAGCAGAGTTTGCTGAAGTGCCTGAATTTAGACTCCACAAAAAACTGAGCTTAATTTGAGGACTTTGGAAGGTATGAATGCTACAAACCCCAACCGTGCATGCAAAAAGGGGTGGGGAGTGGATAGGCAGGAGATAAGCCAGATTCAGGTTCATCACTAATGAACCAGTTTGCTTGTTTGGGACTTCCCAAAGAGAGTTACATCCCATGTCCAGTGAAGTCAGTAGGCTTAGAAGTGTTGTAACTCTAGTACTGTTCTGTAAGTGCAGCTAAAGTTCAACTAATGCCATGTTGATAAAGATTCTATTCAAAAACAAAAGAAGGCTTCAGATATTATATATTTACCTGCTGTTCTAATGTACTTTGGAAAGTAAACGTTTCTTAACTAAAATCCCCTGTTCATGGTATAGAGGAACACGTGTTTTCTTCTACATGCATAAGCTTTTCAGTATGTCAATTAGAAATTTTAAAATGCATTTGTTGTTTGCTATTCAAAGGCAAAGATTAAGCTTTTATTATCTTTTCTCTAGCCTTCGTACACTGTCAAAATAACAGTAAAATGTCTTAATATATGCAGAACAATTTTGATCGATGTATCCTTCCACTCAGAGTAACCAAAACAACACAGAAAGTGGTGTGGCAATTCACAAGAGAAAAACTAGGAAAGAAGAAGAAAAACCAGAAGAAAATACAGTCAGGAGAAAAATGTTTTTAAATGGTTGCCATTCACTTTCCCATTTCTTGATAGCTGAACACAGAAAACTGTTTCCTTTCAAAGAGTACAAGTAAAACCATGCACAAAACATGTGCACTTGTACATGACAATTGGCAGGACCATCTGTTCCGTTTTGTTTACACTTGTGTGAAGACCCAGTCAAACATGGGTAGTGTAATGTGCCTTTAGCAATATGTTTGTGTGCCTGATTTCTTTAACGGAATAACCGTCATGCCTTCAGTAATTGGTCTTCCATGACATTTCATTTCATTCCAACATCCAGAAATGTTCTCTCTTCCCCAGAAGTTTACAGAATTGATAAACAGCTTTTTCTAAATATCTGGGCCCACTCAAAGAACAGCAGCCTCAGATTTCTGTAACTGCCAGAAGACACAGCCAGAGGAAAATTGTATGCTTTTAAATGTGAAATTCACGCTGATCTTTTTCAGCCTC